GAATTTCTTCGATTCCAGCCCTTTTATCATTGGTGGAGCTCTCGGGATCTGATCGACCCTGGAATTATATATTTTTACTTTGTTATCGTTGGCTTCGACTCGTTTTGTGAGTTCCTCGAGCAATTTGGTAATTTCGGGAGTAGTCCCCGATTCTTGCTCGTTTGACTTCACTATGACTGGCTCCGTTCCGTGGGTGATTTCACGAAGCGAATCGGGCTTCAGCCTGCTTTGTACCTGAGCTTGGCTTTGTAACTGAGCTATCGCTATTTGCTGGGCTTGTAACATCTCGAAGATCATCCATAAGCTCACTTTGATCTCCTCCACGTTATGGGCGTCTCGATCTACGGATCGAGTACCGCCCTGAATGCTTTTTTCCGGATCGGAACATTGGTTCGCCTCTAGAGCCACTTGTAAATTGACATCTAGTAGTACTTCGACTCGGATTTCAAGTACTTCGACTCAAGCTTCGGTGACATCGTTAAGTGACCTTCCGACCCTGGGTATCAAGTTGTTGGTTTCATCCTGAAGGCCGGCTTCGTGGTCGATAGGTAAAACCATGAATCGAGGGTTTGCCATTGCTGATTAGGAGTTGTAAACTGGTGCATATTGCAGATTTGTATCAAACAACCACTGTTATCCTTAGCCCCACGGTGGATGCCAAACTGTTTACCCGAAAATTCGGATATAGTTGAATTTATAAGTAGTTCTAAGGATATGCGATATAGCGTAACATAAATCGTATGCAGTAGTGGAAATGTTTGGATTCTTGGCTATAGAAATGAGATATAAATTATTGAACTAGAAGAATGAGTATGTTGAGTAAAAAACAAGCTTAATGGATTTATTATTCAATAAACAGAAGTAGTCTTTTCATACCAATGTCCCACCGTGTTTACAAGGATTCTCCCATTTATAGTAGAGGGATCTTACTTTATTTACAATAAAAAGTATATAGTGGAGAACCCATGATGAATTGTCCCTTCCTCAATTCCTGCCAAGATTCTCTTCCCTAGTGCGATTGCAACGGCTCATGTCTGCGAGCTCGATACTGGCTCGAGCTCGATATTGGCTCGAGCTTGATACTGGCTCGAGCTCGGTATTGGTTCGAGCCCTCGGCCTTGAGTTCGAGTTCGACATTCAGGATGAGTGTTAATCGGTCTGTGCATTTCCGACAACCTTCTCTTTGCCTTTCGGTTCGATTTGGTCATGGGTTGACAATGATACCAAATCGATTCCTCGATCGGTCTTGGAGCTCGAGGCTTGTATGCACTATCCTCGGAACTCGTCTCGAGCTCTCACTTCGATCGCTTACCATTCGAACTCGATCAAACGTACGGAGACCGAAATCTATTTCGACCGTATACAAAATGCATATCCAAGATGATTTGTAAAAGATTAAGTGTAGTAATCAAAGCTATTGTGGCAGAAAATCAGGTTGCATTTGTGGAGGAAAGATCTTTGGTGCACAATGTGTTGATATGCCATGATTTGCTTATACACTACACCTAGGTGCCTTATGAAGATATATCTAAGAAAGACATATGATATGATAAGATGAGATTTATAGAAGAGGCTTTGAATGGATTTGGATTTCTTGCTAGCTACATTTATCCAGCTCGTAATGACTTATATATCTTCCACAAGATTTTCTGTCAAGGTGAATGAAGTAGGGTATGAATATTTTGAGGGAAACAGAGGTCTAAGACAAGAGGATCCCATGTCCCTATTGTTATTTGTGTTGGTCATGGAGTATCTGACAAGAATACTAAAGAGTATGAGTAGTTTACCAGATTTCAAGTTTCATCCAATGTGCAAAAAGACCAAACTGACTCATGTGATATTTGCTGATGATTTAATGATTTTGATTTTCTGTAAAGGAGACATTAAGTCAGTGACTGAAGTGGGGAAGCACTTCAACATTTTAGTGAGGTAACTGGACTGGAGGCAAATATGGACAAGTCAAACCTATTTGTGGCAGGTGTAGATGAGGAACTAAAGAAGCAGCTACTTGATATAACAGGGTTCTCCCTAGGATCTTTGCTTATAAGATACTTGGGATTGCCACTGCCCTCAAAGAAGTGGAGCAAAATGGAGCGTTACCAACTGGTTGAAAAGATCACAAGTAGGATAAAAACTGGCTACTTAAGAGCATTATTTTTTGCAGGGAGATTACAGATCATTACTGCAATATTATTCTCTCTATACAACTTTTGGGGAGCAGTTTTCATACTTCCACAAAATGTTCTAAAGGAAGTTGATAAACAATGTAGAGATTACATATGGGGGAGTAAGGAGGATGGGGGGAAGATTGCTCTAGTCTCTTGGGTAAAGTCTGTGTCCCAAAGAAGTATGGAGGTTTGAATATTAAAAACTGTGCTAAGTGGAATGTGGCCTTAGTGGGCAAACTGATATGGCAGCTGGCCATGATTACATGGGTGCATGGCTTATATATAAAAGATATTCAAGATTCCTGGAGTCACAAACCACCCCAAGATAGCAGTTGGTATTGGAGAAAATTAAATTTCCTTAAAGCAGAGATGACTCATTAGTACCATAGTGGTAGATATTGGTTGACACCTAATGGAGAAGACTTGGTGTCAAGTAGCTATCAAGCATTACTGTACAGAGATGAAAGGAGGCAGATCTGGTATGGAGCTCATTGATGCTGCCTAGACACAGGTTCCTTTGGTGGTTAGCAAGTCAGAAAAGATTACTAACGAAGGAAAGGTTGACAGATTGCAGATGCAATTGGACTACACAATGTGTGAATTATGTGATGATTTGCAGGAAGAAACAGACATTTGTTCTATGAATGTGGATGGACGACAGAGCTGAGGGACAAGATGGAAACATGGTCAGGCGTCAAGATACAAGGGAAAGAAGTGCTGCAATCAATACGGTGGATCAAAAGAAGACATTGGAGGCAATTCAAAAAAGAGATAGCAGCAGCAATTCTTGGAGCTGAGATATATCATATATGGAAAGCTAGAGACTGGAAACATTTTAAGGCGACAACTGTAAATATAGAGGCTATGATCACACAAATACAAAAGGAACTTCAGGAAAGGATAGAACTCTTAGTAAGAGCTCCAAAAGAGCACGTAGGTATAGTTTTTTTACTGCAAAGATTTTGTAAGTAGTCGTTTTGGTTTTTGAGGCTGGAAGAGATTAATTACACCTCAAGTTCAGAGGTTGTAGTAACTCCGGTGCTCTTTAGGGGTATTATTTGTAAGTAATGGTAATATTTCACAGTTATTACCAAAAACCAATATATATGTTAAAGTTTAGTATCTTGCGTTGTCTAATTAAGCCAGCAAAGCACCATTAGGATACTAAAATATCAGGCTTAGCTTTAATTAGCATCTTGCTTGAGTAACGAAGCTCAAAAGAATCTAGGGTGTTTGAAATTCATTTCTTTTTGTTCTAAAATACGATAACTCGGGATCAAAGAAACTAAGAAAATTGGCGAAAAGGGTGTTTGAAATTCCAGAATTTAAAAAAAAAAAAGAAGGAAACTTGAGAGATGTGGATTATCTTCAAGAAAAGGTTCCAAAAAACAAAACACAAATGAGAAAGGAATACAGAAAACAATCACCAATGCATATAAGTAATTATTTAGAAAGCCAAATTTGAACTTTGAAGAAGATAGAGAGATATATAATATGTTTACCTATATTTGTTTCTATTTTCAGGGAAGTCTTGTCTGCATGACTTAAAATTTGTACACGACACTATTTTGTGCTTGGCACTTCCATTAATTTCTTGTTTCAGTTAATTACGGTTATTGACAATATTAGCCCATAAACTTGTTTAGCATAGAGTAGTAGTATGTTATAGAACTCAACTATCAGTACGTAATACGGATTGATACGAGTGTGTAAGTATTCCATACAAATAAATACAACTATTTGCTAACTGTATTTTTAAAAAGTTTAACTAATATCTATCAACGATGTAAGATAATTTGTTAGGACAACACGTGCAATTAAACTGAGAAAGAAAGAAAGAAGGAAATTCGTTTGTTTAGTTAGGAGTTGTTTAATTCGAGAAAAATGTCTGCTTTAACACATTTATGGAAAATTGAGATCATGGAAAATAGTTCCTTTCTCTCTCATATTTGTTTGATTTTACTTTTCACAAAACCAATCGTAGAGAATGTAGTAAGTATGGTCATATATACATCAGATATTTAACTTCTATTGATCTCAACTACTTTCCCATACTACCATTCTTGACAGTCAAGTTGTCAGCCATACCTACCAATCTTACTCCATACTCCCTCAAAATATTCTTCATTGAGTTTGTGCTAAAATTTCCCTTTTTTTCAGCACTAGCTTTGGTCTTTAATTTGTTCATTTGAGACATAAGAAGAGACGAGGATCATTAGTGAGATTTGAATCTACGTCTAAATAATAGTATAATATAGAGTTGTAACTCATAATTTTTTTCATTATTATTGTTATTTAATAGACTTATAATTCATAGATCATACGCATCAGGCGTAACTGGTAGACAAAAAGTGATCTGACCGTATATATAGGTCAAATGTACAAATTCTGAATGTCGTCCGCAGGGTTAACTGAGTTGGTTAGACGAGTGATTTCTCATGTGGGCCGAAAACTTAATATCGATTCCTCCTAAGTTGGAGCTCCTTGCGGGCTAAAAATTTTTTGCACGTCTATAATGAAATTCTTTATTTTGCTATTAGTTATAACCCAAATATCGAGTTTGTATTATGTTGTATTGGGTTTGAAAGAAAACTAAGTTTTTTATATTTAACAAGTTGAGAGTTGAATAGTAACGTGCCAATATGAAATAACATAACTTAAGCACCAAGATTGCAAATTTCAGCCACAGGAGATAGTTAAGGAGAATACTCCTACTATATCTTAATTCCTAGAGGAAAAAAAACAACCCATATTTTAAAAAAATACAACAAAAAAAATATTTATAGTCCACTCTACAGTAATTATTGAGAATGAAGAAAGAATGGAAAAGGACAAATGACCCACATGCCCTGATGACTGATTCTTGGATTGGATTGTGATTGGTTGCTCTAAAATTTAACCACCGTTTCTCATTTATTGCTTTGTTTTTCAGTTCAGTTCATATACTGACTCCACCTACACAACTTCCACTCTCCTTCAAAAGTTCCCGGAGAGGACGACACTGTGGAAAAATAATTCAAAAAAAAGAAAAGAAATATTGACCCAGAAAAAGATTCTTTTTTTTCAAGAAAATATTTTGATGGGGTTCAAATCTTGGTTCTTCCTTATATTGGTTCTTGTTGTTGGGGTTCCAATATCATCCTCTGTCCCCTTTATTGTACTCCATGGTATTAATTATTCTTGTTCCTCAACTTTTTTTTTACTGTTAATATTACTATTTTCATATAAATATTTGATTAATTGTTGGTTTTGTGTGGATTAATAACTAATCATAAGAGTTGGTGGTTGTAGGAATTGGAGATCAGTGTTCACACAATGGAGTGAAACGTTTCACAGAGGAGCTAAGTGAATGGTCCAAATCTGAAGGATATTGCTTGTAATATTTCCTATCTTTCTTTTTGTATTTATCTGAAATAGTTTTTAGGAGCTGTACTTAGTATGACCGTATGATATATTTATCTTATTTGGCGTGTCGCAAATTTCTGCTATTACTTTGTATAAGACTGCAAAACTGCTTTCTTAATCTTTATCTGTTCTAATTAAAATACTATTCATCCGTATAAAACTTGTCTCTTTTATATTAAAGTGTCATGAAGCTTAAGATGTTATTTGACTTCATAAAAAAAGGTAATATCTCTTTGTAAAATATGTTTATTTGACTTATGTATTATATTAATCTTAGTGGAAAAACAATACTAGGATAATGGTTGAAAAGTTATTTTTCTAAAGAAAAGGTAATATCAAAGTATAAAATTTGATTAGTTAAATGAATTTTGAATTCTTGAAAGTGGTGGAGTTTGTATAGAGTAATGTTATTAATCAAATGGTGTCAAATATTTTGGGACATTCCAAAATGGAAAGAGGGTCTTATAGATTCGGACGGAGGATAATCTTATATTTGGCCACATTTCTGCTAACACTGCTTCTTTATCACTTCTGAAATAATAGGTGTTTTGTTTGATTGACTAGAAGTTTGAAGTGTTAATTTGACTTATGTATTATGTTAGTAGTAGTGGAAGAAAATACTAAAATATAATGATTGCAAATTCATAGAGAAAATATCGCATCAAATTAAACTTTGAATAGTTAAATGAATTTGAATTCTTAACAACTGTAAACCTTGTATAGATAATAGAGTGGTGTCCTTTTCTGTCCCACATGGGAAGAGTTTCATATTAGTTGTAGTTCCTTTTCCTTTTCTTGAAGTAATGTTATTGCTTCTGGTGAGGCTTTAGTTAGTTGTCTTAGTGTATGTTTGCTATAGCTTCAGTATTTTGATAATGATTATTGATTACTATGTTCTTTTGATTATTTGAATAAGCTTTTTCATAAGCTACTAGCTTAGAGAAGCAACTTATATAATTAATTCGAGGAAAAATGTTGAATGTGCACTCTATTTATCACAAGTTGTGCCTTGTGCTAGCTCGTAATAGACTAACATTCATCACCTTGAGCTATCCATTATTATTCTGAAACAGAAAGAGTTTATGCTTCTGTATCAGAGTTGGAGTCAATTGTGGAGAATGGTAGTTCTTTGAAATCATGCTCAAGTGATACCTTAACCTTCACTTATTGAAAAAGATTGATGCATGAATAAAGCTGCATGATAATCAGCAAAGTGGATTAGAAAGTTGCCTCAAAGACATCTCAAGCGCTCCCCCCCCCCCCCCCCCTCTTCCGGCCTCCGCACACCAGAAGAAAAAGAAAGAAAACAAGACTTCTGATGTCTCCTCTTTTTTATGTATTTGTTTTCAAGATCATTAGTAGGAATTGTTTTGTTTGTCCTTGAAGCAATAGTTAAAATATGCCTGAAAAAAAGGTATTATGTCACCATGACTTGTTATCTGTCAATAGAGAGTTTACCAATTAGTATGGTTGGGGTTCAGGATTTTGCATTTTGAATTGTACTTGCTGAATCCAATCTCTTTCCGTACAGTCTTAGCTTATATGATTCTGTTCTATGGTCCAAGTCCTACAAAATCATCAGCGTTTTGTTCTCCACATATAGTTATGTAACTTATATTGTTTAGTAATTGCACTCTCTTTGAACTTTCCCCTCGTAGGGAAATCGGAAATGGATCATGGGACTCTTGGTTTATGACTTTAGAGGATCAGGTAATGACATTGCATTATAATTTAAATGCTAGTCGTCTTGGGCAATGAAATCTTGAGAACCTAGTTCTGATCTGTTCTTTTTCGTGTGCAGGCTGATGTAGTGTGTAGCAAGGTGATGGAGCTCTGTCACTTAGTGGATTTTATTGTGAATAATCTCCCGTGTTTGTTTTACTCACTGGTGAAACAAATTTTTGAGTACAGGTGAAGGAAATGAAAGAACTCCAAGATGGTTACAACATAGTTGGTCTCTCCCAGGTTATTTCAAGAAACTAGATCTTCTAAATTTGCATACTACTTTTATGAGTGTACTTTCCATCACTTAGTATCATATTTGTGTGTCAATATGATCCTTAACTAATTCCACTTGGATTTGTTTAATCCATATAATCTGTTGGTGACCAGTATGATCCTTGAACTAAGTCTGCAATGACCGAACTGGCCTAACTCATACCAAACATCCAAAACTAATATTGTTTGGGTTATGCAAGACACATGATATCACAACAATATTATTCGCTTGGAAAGTATACACTTATTTTGTGATGTAATGTTTTGGATTGAATTGGTTTGAGGTTGCATGGACTGCATATTCACTGCTCACCTGCTTATGATGCAGGGTAATCTAATAGGCCGAGCTGTTGTTGAATTTTGTGAGGGAGGACCACAGGTAGGAAAAAAGCTTATAGCAGCCTTTTGGCTTTCTGCATGTAATTCCGATTGACTTCTGATTTTATTTGCTTAAGTCAAATCAGATCTTTCATAGTCTAGTCGTTCCGTGTAAACTATGATTGGCCGCTCTATAGATCAGTCTGGGACTGGTTACAATTATCTTATTTGCAGTGAGCTCTCCCATTATTCACTAGGACAATGGAACATTGAAACTAGAAGATTACTGTGGGAATGAAGACTCTTTGGGCTCACTTGTCAAATATAATAAAAATCTTATGCTCAACGTTCTTTTTCTTTATCTCCTACAGAATGTCAGTTCTCCAGTTCCAGTTTCTAATTTCCAGTCCTAGCAAGGTTGTTGGTGGATTGTCAGAATTATATCTCTTCACCTTGTCCTCATTCCCTTAAAACGACAGCCTATGTGTTAATGCAATACTCTTCACCATCAGCAGAGATCATTCTTCCGAATTTGAGGGCTTACCATCAGCAGCGGAAATAATTTTTAGGTCTTTACCTGACGGCTGACGAGCTTCATTAGTATTTGTGCTTCTGGAGAATAGTCTATCACTGTATCACATATATTGATCGGAGTCGCTGCTTAACCGACAACGTGTTTTTCTGCTTGTTTTGGAAGCTTGAAACGACAGATAAGTGGTGACTATGAAACGGCCTTGCTACTGAGCTTCTTGTCTTCCATCTTTCTTTATTGTGGGGTCCGCGCAACAAGAACAAGAGCGCTTCCTCTTTCTTTTTCTTTGCAAAAATACACCCAGTCTTTCCTGCAATACTCATCAATCTGTAGTTTTTGAAGAAAAGACAATATTCCCTAATTAGTGTGATGGGAATGCAAATGAAAAATGAAGAAAAACAAAAAAGATGACGAGGAAAAGAAGTACTTTATCTCCCTCTTTACAGTAATTGGAGGAACAAAGTGATATATTGTATTGCCTGCCTAAAAGGATGACGGGTTAAAACGTGCTGCTTCCCAACCTTGTAATCTGCATTATTTATAGTGAACGGAGAAATCTTTAACTTTTCAGTTCTCCAAAGAAGGAAAATAGAGAAGTCCAGGAAAGAAATCATTGAAGTTCTTAGTGTTTCACGTGGATTTTCTTTACATTATTGATTCCACATGTTAAGTTGTCATCTGTCTAGGCCTTATGTTTGCACTTTGCTGTACTCGAGAAATTTCAATAATAAGCATTTGTGCTTGTTCCCATGACAGGTTAAGAATTTTATTTCCTTAGGCGGACCTCATGCTGGCACTGCTTCAGTTCCTCTCTGTGGTGTAAGTTTTATACCATTATCTGCTATTTATCCTTCTATAAGACACATTTTCTTGGTAGTTTCTGATAGCTGGTTTACGTAAGGATTCTTCTTACTGTTGCTGGCATTGACTTATCAATTTTTTATCACCGAATCTTGTAAGTACTCCTTGGCTTGCTTTCGCATTGTTCTTAATCTCATATTCATTTGCAGTCTGGCATTTTTTGCATTATTGCTGATAGTCTAATAAAGTCAGAGATATACTCTGCATTTGTCCAGGTATTACGAAGTTCTGATTCTGTTTTATTTACAAAGGGAAGTTTGGCATGCTTCATTGGAATGATAATTTTTAAATTGCAGGCTCACTTGGCCCCTAGTGGGTATCTCAAGCTTCCAAATGTAAGTGGCATATTATTGCATTTCGCATTACATAATGTCCTAATGTGCTGTGCAAACAATCCTGTGACAATTTTTATTGGCTTCACAACTTGCTTCTCTGCATATTGGTGGGAATGGAATGTAAAATCAATTTCACAACTTTGGATCTTCTCTGCATTTTGATGGGACTGGACTACGTAAACTCAAATTTTAAATTCGCAAAAAGTCTTATGGCACTAAAAAGTGGTGGCATGTAAGTTCTTGGAAGAATAGAGAGGAGTTGACTGCATCCATTGTGGTTGGATTGGATAGGATAGGACTGAAATGGGGACACGGGGAAGGTAGGATCTTGGTATGTGCCTTTGTCAGAAGGAGAAAGAGGATAGATAAGATTCCCATGCATTTTCTATGATCTTGGTTGTACCTTGTGTGTATGATTGATGAAGCAAAAACAAGGGGAAGGAATTTTAGATCCAATCGTTAACTATTTCTTATTTGCTTTATTTTGTAATCTCCATTTTATTTAAGATGTATTTTTTCTTCTGAATTTGAAATCAAAGTATAGTGCAGTTGGATGTTGAAAAAAATGCTAAAAGAAGGTGATGGTTGTGAGTGCCATGAAAATGTAAAGTTCCGCGTCATGAAAACTATGGTGTCTCAAAAGTAAATTTAATCTCCTTTTCCTTCTTTTGGAAGTTTGGAAGTTCCAACGATTGTTTTCTCCTGAATGAGTTGTTTTGTTCTGGCGGGGTGTGGCGAAGCAAAATTTAGTTACCAATCTTTCAGTTTTGGAAGCTTAACTTGTATCTGTCTCTCCACAGAATATTGCTGGGTACATGAAAGCCTGTCATTTTCTCCCAAAGCTCAACAATGAAATCCCTAGTCACAGAAATTCCACCTATAAGAAACGGTTCAGCAGCTTGGAGAATCTTGTCCTTATCATGGTTTGTCAATCCTGCAGTTGCATTCTCTTTTTGTTTCTTTGTTTCAGTTTGTGTCAAATGACCGCAGTGGTGACATCACACTCTTCTTTCCCGTGTTTTTTTTTTCTTTCTTATTCACAGTTTGAACATGACACTGTTCTGATACCAAGGGAGACCTCTTGGTTTGGATATTATCCAGATGGGGTCTTTGAACCTATTTTGCCACCACAGAAGGTATGCTGACAAATTTTTGGTTAAGAGAATTGTCCAATTTATATTATTATTTACTGCTGTTACAGTGACTGTTACAGTGACTGTTACAGTAAACAAGAAACACCCTCTCAATATTTCTTTTGCATATGTATGATACCTAAGATGAACCCACATTGGTGCACTGCATTTCTGCTCTGCAAATTAAAATGTCAATATACTTGGTTTTGGGAAAAGACAATACCATATTTTCCTTGTCGGCAAATGGTTTTTCATTAGTTCTGTTTTGGCTGTATTTTGACATGCTTCAGAGAAAAATAGTAAGATCGCACCCACATACACCTAAATCAAAGAAAATAGATGGATTGGTTTTAAATATTCAGATGATGGCAACATCTCTACTTGTGCACTACACCTTCACTACCTTGCTTCTTGCCATTCCCTCAAGTCTCGACATAAATACTCTATCACCCATTGTTTTGGATAGCGTGCGGCGACAAATAGCGACGAGGGCCCGCTTCACTGAGGCGAGAGGCGCTTGCCTTTTTGATGTGAAGCGACAATTTATAATAAAATATTATATATGTAACTAAAAACTCAATAGCAATAATATATTAATAAATATATCAATTCAAAAATAAAAAAATCCAAAGTGAAGCTGTGAAAAATTGAAAAACAAAAAACAGAGCAGAAAAAAGAAAGAAGAGAAGAAGTACTGAAGAAGCTCTCTCAACTGAAGAAAAAACAGAGCTTTTCTCATACTGTTCTGTTTAGTGCAGCAACAGTGATTAAAAAACAGAGCCAAAAAAAAAAAGAAGAACAAAAAGGAAGAAAAAACCTGTTGCAGCAGCAGCGATAAAAAACAGAGCCCAAAACAAAAAGAAAGAAGAAAAAGGAAGAAAAAACCTGTTGCAGCAGCAGCGATAAAAAACAGAGCCCAAAACAAAAAGAAAGAAGAAAAAGGAAGAAAAAACAGAGCAGCACAGACTCTGTTATGTTGTAGCAGCAGCGATTAAAAAACAGAGCCCAAAACAAAAAGAAAGAAGAAAAGAAGAAAGAAAAAAGTTGGACAGAGTCGCACAACAGAAACTCGAAGAAAGAAGAAAGCAGAAGAAGAAAAGAGATGAAAAGAAGCATACCTGATGAAGAAACTTGAAGGAGAAAGGAAATCGCTCGTCTGCTGTAGGTCTGCTGTCGACTTGAAGGAGAAAGAGTAAAGAAATCGCGAGCCCTAATTTTTTGTTTTAACAGATCTCTGTTGCTGCCTTCTTCTTTTCTTTTTTGCAAAAAAGCGACGCTACAGAGGCAGAGGCGCTCGCCTCTTTGAAAACGCTACGCCACACCGTAAAATAGCGATGGCAGCTCGTATCGCCTCACCTCACGCTATTAGCGCTGAGGCGAGCGCTATTTACAACACTGCTATCACCTGCTCTCCCCCTTTGCCAAACCAAGACCACTCTTTCGCCCAATGATCAATTTCTTCATGCCGTTGTTCTCCCTCATCCTTTTCTTTTCCTTTGTTATCCTTCAAAGTACCCAGGATACTGCATATACCATAATTTAACTTTGCTTGCATGTACTAATTTGTTGGATTGCATCTGTAACCATTGAGATTCAGATAGGATGTATTGTGGTGTTTCTGAACGGACTATAAATAGGCAGAAAGAAACTTACTATGTAGAGGTCATATTTGCTACCTTTTCTTTTCTACTTATCATTAATGCCAAAACAAGAGGGCAATTAATTGCCGTCCACAATTGCCACCAAGATGTTTCATGGCTAAGTAAAAGCCACAAAAAGTTACATGGGATTGGGTTCAGGGCAATTAGGTGGAGTTGAATCAAGCCAAGTTTAAGATCTAGTTAATCTTGACTCAACCTGAATGTATTATGCACGGCTTTGATTTTGAACTTCAGTTTCAGGCCAGCAAAAACTAAGCAAAGACAATTTTTGAAAAGAAAATTTTGTTTTCTACTTTTGCATCTGAATTTTACCCTATTGAGATTATTGCCTTATCTTTTGGCAGACTCAGCTCTACGCTGAGGATTGGATTGGTTTGAAAACCTTGGACAATGCTGGAAAAGTGAAATATGTAAAAGTAGCTGGGAATCACCTTCAAATTTCTTCCAGTGATATGAGAAAGCATGTTGTTCCATACTTAGCAGAGAATGCATCAACCGACGGGAGCTCTTCAATTGTGGAAACTGTGGCAACGAATGATTTGCAAGACGAGTTATCAACCATTTTTACATTTGAAGGTTCCTCTTCTTATAATTGGCCTGCACCTGTCAAGAGCTTCTTCGCCGATCTACTTGGTTTGGCCATAGATGAATCAGTCCCTTAACCCTTCATTTGGTTGTTTGATTGTTGGATGATTACACGATATACAACTACATTGAAATATAACATGGCTTTGATTGTAAGCTTTATGTTATCTTGTATGTACATGTATGTGATATACTACTAATATCAGATAGCATTACTAGCAACTGTGTTGCCTTTGTTACTTTTGTGTGAGTTTGTTTTCCTCCCACCCCCTTTTGTTAGACAAGGGAAGGTGTTTCTTCTATGCCCTTGCATGTTGATACAGTTATACTTAAGTAAAAGGTGTTAATGACGGGTTTATCTTTTATACGTTGATAATGTAATTTTACACTAGGTCACTTTCAAGGTAACAAAAGATATCTAGCCATTATTACTAGAATTAGTATATAAGATAAATCGTTTATCGATATAGTGCCCTAACTAGAGTTCCAAAAATGTATTATAAGATGGTAAGATTTGCTAAAACAGAGTCAATTAACAAGAACCATTTCAAACCAAAGAAAGCAAGATGAAAATGACTGCTAAATAGACAGGTAGATAAAGGTACATACCTAAACTACTTCTGCTGTATTTCTTTTTTTGGTATTGGCAGTGTGAACATATCAAGGAGATCTATAATGAAATTTGGTATACAACTGATAAACAGTTTTACATACCCATTTAAATTAGGGCAAAGATTGCATTTAGCCCGAGGCCGAAATTATTTACATCCGGTAGCCTCAAAACTGTATAAAATTTGTATATTTTTTGTATATAATATTTTTTCGACTATTATTTTGAGAGAGATTATACAATGTCATTTTCTCTTTAAAAATTATACCATGTCACATTTATTCAACGAAGTCTTGTTTGCTCATTGACAACTTTAATTTTAACAATTTCGAAAATCTTTCTAACGTCCGATAAAAGATTCCAATATCAAAAACTAATACAACTCAATCTGGCCAATCTCTTAGATCTTTGATACGTCGGTATTAGGAATTAAGATGATTACTTTTACGCAGGGATTACGCTCATAATTAAGAAGATATATATTAAATTATATTCATTATAAAATTGAACTTCTTTAGAAAATCATACATCATATATTGAGCTACGAAATCTTAATTAGTTATGAGGAATCGACTGCTGATAGCCGTTACAAATATTGTGTAAAAGTTCACTTTGACTAATTTTTTAATTAATTTCTTTTTCTGGTGGAAGTGGGGACGTGAACAATAGAGGAGCAAAGGTTCTTTGCTCGAAGTAGAATCTTGCACATAAGTAAAGTAGCCATTTTTAAAATAAATAAATTTAAACAAATATTTGTGCTTGAACAACAACAACAACAACAACAACAACATACTCAATATATTTCCACGTTGTGGGTTCTGGAGAGGGACTCAGAGGCGGATCTAGAATTTGAGGGTAGCGGGTACCATAATTTTCTTTAATGTATACCTTGTAATGACTAATATGAAATTTGTTAGGAACGTTTATTCAGTTTTTTTGAGTTTATTCAGGTCAACATAATAGGTATTTTTTATTTGCAAATATAAAAATTACATCTCAAATATCAAAAAACAAACGTAATTAGTATTTTGAATAAGGAATAACACCTTTATTATAACAACACAAGTAAAATCAACATTTTCACTAGGAAATTACATCTTTTTTTTATACTAAAAATAAATTTACACAAGTAAGATAACATATTCAATAAGAGAATTACATCGATCAGAATAAGAAACTTAAAAAAAAAAATATCTTCAATAGATAAATTATTCCCTATAAATATAAAATTAAATAAACTACAAGTTCCCAAAAATCAAAATCAAAAATCTCATATTTTTAAGCAATGTTTACGAATTTTCATCATAATTTAATAGTAAAGAGATTTAAATTATATTTAAGAACCATATAATAAACAAAATAAAATTATGATATAATAAAAAAGATGAAAAAAATTGATCTCAATCCAAAATTCCCATTAAGAGACAGGTTTTTCGGATTTGAAAGAAGAAAACTCATAAATGTAAGATTAAGAGAAATGCTTATTTTATATAATTTTCAAGTTTTGGAGTCTCTTTTTTTGGTGTTCTTGCTAGAGACCATATATAAAATAATAGAATAGAGAAAAAAAAAATATAAAAAATAATAAACGACAAATAGAAAATTGTGAAGCAGCCGAAAAGGGAAATGACTGAGACAAAAGGACATAAAAAACACAAAGAAAAGGGGAAGTCGGACAAGGTTCAAGATAAATTCCAACTTGAATTTTACACAAAAAAAAAACTTTCAAAAAGGTCTATCAACCATGGAACCTTTGTTTAGCTTATGACTGCGGGTGGCAGAAACAGATATTTAACCTAGTTTAAGAAATAAATAAATAATATATATATATATATA